CAAAAAAACAGAAAAAAAAAAAAAAAAGAGAGAGAGAGAAAATGGTCTTAAGTTGTCGTTAGTCTCAGCAGCCCTGGGGCTGGAGAGTGGAGCCGTACAGAGCTTGCCTAGTGTGGACTTATTCCTAGAGCACAAAGAACACCTGCTACTAAGGAAAATGGGAAACAAGATCACCAAAATAAGTGTTTTAAAATACAGCCAGCTACTGTCACTAATTTTAACTTGTAAAACGTTTTATAAGTTCGTTACTCATTAGTATAGAGGCAGCTGGCTCTGTCATGAATTCTTTCAACAAAAGTTGGAAAGTTGTTTCCACCCCCTGCAACTGAGTTTCTCTGTGTAGCCCTGGCTGTCCCAGAACTTGCTTTGTAGACCAGGCTGGCCACAAACTCACAGAGATCTGCCTGCCTCTGACTCCCCAAGTGCTGGAATTAAAAGTGTGAACCACTGCTGTCCAGCTGGAAAGATTTTTAGATTTTGGGAGGCAATAGCAACAAGGGGATTGCAGACACTTGACACCCAGCTTTTGACCAAGGTTATTTCAGTTACCTGCTATTTGGTTAATTTCTTGTATATTTCAAGCTTGCCTGAATGCCTGATCCTCCTGCCTTCCTCGGCCTCCCAGTGTGGGATTGCAGGCCTGTTTCACCACCCCAGGATTTATGTGATGCTGGGGATTGAACCTAAGGCTTCCTGATGCTTAAGTAAACACTACCAAGCTACATGACATGCGTAGCCCCTGATTGTTTTTGGGTTTTGTTTTCTTTTTTAATGATTTATTTAACTTTATTTTATGTGTATTGGTATAAAGGCGTTAAATCCCCGGAACTGGATTTTCAGACAGTATGAGCTGCCATGTGGGTGCTGGGAATTGAACCCAGGTCCTCTGGAAGAACAGTCAGTGCTCTTAGCCATTGAGCCATCTCTCCAGCCCCGGGTTGTTTTCTTTGTGAGACAGTGTCTTCCATCCAAGTACTAACCAGGCCTGACTCGCTAGCTTCCGAGATCAGATGAGATGGGGTGTTCAGGGTGGTGTGGTCATGGACAGTGTCTCATGTCACCCAGGCTAGCCTCAGACTTCAACCCCTGTGCCTTATGCCTCCACATGCCCAGATACATTGACAACAGTAGTAAAATTAGGGCTGAGTGTGATGGATCATGTCTGTAAGCTCAGCACCCAGGAGACAGAAAGAAGCAAGGGATCGCAGTGGGTTTGAGACCAGCATGGTCTACATAGTGAGCTCCAGGCAAGACAAGTCTACAAAGTGAGACCCTGCTTTTGAAAAATCAAACTGTAAAACTAGAATTTCAAATCACTTGAATTTGCCCAGAAATTATCTTGTAACAACCTCTAAACCAAGTTTACTGAGTCCAGTTAATAGGGGTAGGTGCGGGGGCTGGAGAGATGGCTCAGAGGTTAAGAGCACTGCCTGCTCTTCCAAAGGTCCTGAGCTCAATTCCCAGCAACCACATGGTGGCTCACAACCATCTGTAATGAGATGTGGTGCCCTCTTCTGGCCTGCAGGCATACACACAGACAGAATATTGTATACATAATAAATAAATAAATATTTTTTAAAAAAAAAAAGAAAAAGAAAAAAAATAGGGGTAGGTGCCACCCCCAGCCCCCAAGCAGAGGGAGCTTTTCAAGTTTTATAATAGCTGGCATTGGAGCAGAAAAAAGTCGGCTGCTGGACAGCTCTGTTAGTGCAGTAATAACTGCACAGACAAGTGGCTTAGCAACCAAGAATAGACAGCCCTCAAGAGTTTTACCACCTCTGCAGAGCCAGCGACCTGTGAACCTGACTATGAACTTCAGGCAGCCTTTGGAGGGCTGGGGTTCTTCCCTGCACAACTGGGTTTATTAGCTCTTCCCTGATTGGTCCTCCTTCCACCCAATTTGCATATTCACATTTTAATAATTAGGCCTACCATGCACTGTGGTGCCTCTATGAATTAAGAGATTGTGATGGAGAAAGCCAGAGTTGTTGCAGGATTCCACAAAGAAGGAAGAGCTGGAAGGATTGAGTGCCTGGTTCTAGGAGCCTGGTCCCAGATTCCTTGATTCTCTTAGAAGAATCTTGAAGACTTCAGGTGCAGCTCCCAGCTCTCCCATCAAAGAGGAGAGACTACCTGGAGGACTCTAGAAATAAAAACCACAGCTCCCATAATAAAGGGAATAAAACATAGTTTATTCTGGAGCCATTTAAGTAACCATGGCCTGGGAACACAGAGTTAGGTTACCCCAAACTAAATGGTCCATGGTAGAAGCAGTTTCCTGAAGGTTTATACTTTCACAGAATAAAATCATAAGTTTAAAATAAAATACATTGTTGGGTATTCAGAGAGGCAGGTCCAGCTAGATGAGGGTGCTTTTCTATATGCCCAAAATACTACCTGACTTTTGGTAGTTGGTGAGCTAATAGACTTACAAGGTTTTATCTGCTTGTTCCGACACAGGCGGGCAGTGCATGGCTGTTCTGGAGGGCTAGAACTAGCCCAAGTAACTAGCTTTTGAACCTGTAATATTCCAGTCTCCCCACAGTACTGAAATTGTAATCAGCCAGTTTCCACAGACAAGCTTCTCAGTTGGGAGGTTCCTTATGGCTGAGGCTTCTGTGGGGAACTTGCTTTGGCTAGCTTCTGGGACTGGATCAGTGGGTACAGGCAAAGGGATTCATTCCCACCTCAGCCTCCAAGGCCTCTCAATGGCTGCAGAAAAGAATCTGGTAGCTGTTTCTGCCTTGAAGACCTTCTGGGACCTGGAGACCGATTCCTGCTGCCCCCACAGTGGCCTCCAGACTTGCTCTGTAATGACTGCTTTTGGTTAGCAGCCCCCATCCTCTGGTTCCCAGCATAACCGTTGGTTCAGAGCTGTGCTGGCTTTTCATGACATCCCACTGCTATGGAGAGCTCACACCTGTTGGATTCATATCCTGAGTGGCAATCTGTTTAAAGCTTATCCTGTTTAAGGGTGTTAACCTCACATTGACAAGTATCTGCTTACTCCATTCCTGGAGAGAGTGGGACAAGAGCCTTGATGGAGACAGGAGGTGGTCTCTACCACTGACTCCCAAGAACCGTGGCAAAGACAGGAGGTAGTCTCCACCACTGACTTCCAAGATCAGAAGTAACTGGATTGGTAAGAATAAACATTGTTCACTGAGGCTGAGAGTAACATGAACGACCTGGCTTCCGAGTACCAGCAGTATCAGGGCACCACAGCCAACGACAGGGAAGAGGCTTTTGAAGATGAGGACGAAGAAGAGATGGGGAGTGGGAGGCTTAAGATGCTACAGTGCACACCTGCTCCTTTCTTAGCCCTGATGGTGTGGGCATGGTGCCCTGGTCCACACCTGTCACAGGCCCCTCTCAAACCAAACATCGCACTATTTTCCAGGTTATCTGAATAGAGTGTGTTCCTTTACCGGAGAACCGGCAGCTCCACCAAACCAGGGTGATTGTGTACGGTAACACTGAACGCAAAATAAGGGCTGTACATGGCTAAAGACAGCAACCACCTTCCGTTAAGTGCCCAGCCGTCAGAGTTGGCGGGGTAGGGGAGTTAGGATTTGGTTTTCATCCTTGGTGATAAAACTAAAGCTGCACAGAGTTGCCTTAACTGAATACACAATATGGGGCTTAGAGACAGCATATTCATAAAAAAATGCTAAAACAAAACAAAACCACAAAGGCAGTACCTAGCACTGTAACTCTGTGCTGCACTCCTTAATCCTTACCAGGCTGTAAACACAGGGTACAAAACATAAGTTTGCAATTTCATTTTTTTAAACACTTGTTCCTTCAACAAAACATGGAAGCTGAACTGTAGAGAAATAAGTCAGACAGACCTCTGTGATTTGAAAAATAAACAAACGAGCCTACCAATTACTTCCACTCAGACTATCTGAAGCTTCTCCACTTCCTGAGAATAACATTCTGGGCATCTTCCTGGCCCACCAACATGGGGTACGCAACCCCACTGAGCACAGCTTGGCAGCAAGAGGTACATGATCAAGCCGCTGGCAGAAGCAGAACCAGGTTGTCATCAGGAAGGACCCATGTTATGCAATAATGGCCTTAAAATTCAGGTTTGTTTTTTTTTAATAAATCTTTTTTTAAAAAAAATTCCTTTTTTTTTTAAACAAAAAAACGTACATATTAAATGTACAGTGTTTACCTGCATGCCAGAAGAGGGCACCAAATCTCATTATAGATGGTTGTGAGCCACTATGTGGTTGCTGGGAATTAACTCAGGACTTTTAGGAAGCGGCAGTCAGTACTCTTAACCTCTGAGTCATCTTTCCAGCCCTAAAATTCAGTTTTAAATAGCCAAACCCATAGTCCTTAATTTGTGTGTGTGTGCGTACGTGCACACACACACGCTTCCCTCACCGCCCCCCCCCCCCCCAATAAAGCTGGGAACCGAACCCAGGGCCTTGTGCTTACCACCGAACAAAACACACAACCCTTGAACAATTCTAAAAGCTAGTTTGCAAAGGTAGGGCGAACTCAAGATCACACATGCGCGGTTTGTGTTCCTCTGTCACCAGCCTCCACCCCAGGACATGTCCGCACCTTCCACTTCTCGCGGAGGGGAGAAGCCGGCTCCGGGTCCGCAACCTAACCGGCGGGGAGTGGAGCCAGGAGAGCCCAGCGCTCTGAAGAAATTTCCTCACTTCCCTTTCCTCTTCTGTAGGGACTTGGGTACTGGCTGTCTAATTCTCTCCTACTCTTCCGAAACGTTAGTTTTGACGTCACCCCTGCAGAATGGCTTCTCTCGGTGGCCGGAACCATCTGCGCTTCTCCGCGGGGTGACAAACGGCGCCGAGGGGCACGCGTGGGCGCGGGGCTCCTGCCCTTGGCACAGCGGAGCGGGACGCTGCACAGCGTGTTTCGAGCATCCTGGCCTTCTGCCCGGGGACGCGGCGCCGCTCGCTTGAGCCGGGCGCTGGCGGTCTCTTCCCTCCGCAGGTGTGCGGATGGTTCGGTCCGACTGGGTCACGCGCTGGGCTCGGTGCAGGGCCTGCGGAGCGGGCGAGCCCTCGGCGGGGGGTTGCTCGGTAGCAGCGGCTTTGCGGGCTCCGACAGGCGCGACCGTGTTCCGGCCCGGCGTCCGGGAGACGGCGAGCGCCCAAGTTGGGTTGGTGTTGGGCCTTAGAGCTGAATGGAAGGCGGGGATGGTAAACACCGGGGAGAGGGAGGTGACGGGTTCCACCCCCCGGTCGGGGTCATTGCTTTACTTTTGAATACCGCTGGCGATGATGTCCTGCCAGTACACGTCCGTTTTCTACGGCCGTCCTAAGACGCCCCTCGGGCGGGTCTGCCTGCCTTGCTCAGCCGCCCCAGGGCAGGACACCTCACTTCTCTCTCTGACTGGATAACTCGCCCTCGTGCCCTGGAAGGAACGTTTAGCCCAGGGATTAGCCAGTGGCTCCCAGTCGAGGAGGTCACAAGCAGCCCTAGGCGTTAGGGAGCTAGGAGGAGGACCTGCCGAGAGTAAAGGCTGGCTTTGCAGCTCTTGGGAGCTTGGCACCACCCGTGGTGCCCAGCAGAGAGAAGTCGAACACCGAAAGACCACAGGCAGTGTGGTGCTGAAGTTGCGGAGTGATTACAGTTGTCATTCAACAGTGGAGAGGTCGTGGCACGTGACACTGTTTGCTCTTCTAGTGTCAAGTGACTGGGTGCTCTCTAAAGGAAATCCTGCCGAAGTTGGCAGCAGTAGTAGAGTGGAGAGAAATAGTTCTGAGCTGTGGATACAGTCTGCTGCTGAATTTCTACCCACTCTGCTCTAACTAGGGTGGCAGCTGGGAGGACTGAGTTTCCTGTGGGAGACAGTCACAGCTGCTCCTGACTTCAGTGGAGGTCCATGTAACCCCTTGTTTGCCTACAAGGCACTCTTAGTGGCCTGGTACTATGAGAAGACAAGAAATAGAGAGGAGGTAAAGCCAGGGCACACCAGGGAAGAATGGGGTGGGTATGGTTTGCCAGGCCTGTGGCTTAGGTGGTGTGCGCACATGGCATGCAGGCACAGCCTGCCTCATAATGTAAGTGTGATGGCGAAGAGACTAGCTTCAGCTGCAAATAGAAACTGGGAAGATGGGTGATTAGACGCTCAGGGACTTGTGCTCAGTGAAAACGTGGTGGACATTGGAATTGGTGAGCTGCTGAAGAACTGGCCACTTCCTGACTGGGATTCAGGTGCCACATACAAAACAGTCTGAGAAACTACAAAGACTTTGCTCTGATTTTTTTTTTCTTTCTTTCCCTAGAAAACCTCAGGTCCTTGAAGTCACGTGCAGTTGCCAGACCTGACTGGTCCGGCGGGATGGTGGAATTGTGATCTGTTAAGCATAAGGTTCGTCGTGATGTTGCACACATGGGTGGGATTTGGCTAAGGGCTGCTCTCACGTGCATGCTTTGCCAGGAGGAGGCTTATTTCTCTTTCTTGTATGCCCTTCCGAAGATGCTGTGGCCCCTTTCCCAGGATGTGTGTGTCTGTCTTGGGTTCTGACTCCTCTACGTCCCCAGCCTCTTTATCCTGTTATTGGTTGCTTCATCTCCTCCCCTGTGGTGGGCTCTTCTTGTTTATGAGACAGTGTTTCATGTATCATGTAGCCCAGGCTGGCCCGAATCATTCCAGGTAGCTAGAGCTGACTGATTCTCCTGCTGGCACCTTCTAGTGCATGCATTCCAGATGTGTGCCACCATGACAGGCTCTAATGGATCCTTAAACGACAGTGGTCAGTGACCACTTTGTAGTAAATCCTTTGAACCCTCTCTCTGCCCCTAGATTCGTAGACTCTGCTTTGACTGTGGTTGTGTCGAAACGTCTTAAATACCTCCAGTTAGAGAAACCAGAGGGTTACAGTAGTTATCTCTATGAACAAGTAACTTGGTGCCTTCCATGTGTTGGGAGCTGCAGTGGACACCGAAGGGATTGTAGCTAATTAGACAAAGTCTCCACTGATAGGGACTTAGCATCTGTAAAGGGAATACAAGCAACATAGGTCCCAAAGCCTAGGACAAGTGAGGGAATGAGAGCTGGTAGGACGGGGGTGTCAGTCTAGAGGAGCAAGTTTGTAAGGACAGACACATGGAGACCGAGTGCTCAGGAGTGGGCCAGACAGAGGTCTGCTGCGTATTCAGGACCTTATATCCAGCTCCTGTGTCTCACACCACAATCAGGATCTCCATGGGTCACGTGTCATACCCTCAGGTCTCTGTCTCCTGCTTTGCCAGTCATTTATACCCGCTGCTCTTCATCCTGGTCTAACCCAAGAGAACTGGGGCCAGGGCAGCCTGCCAGCTCAGGGAGTTGACTGCGGAGCACTAGAGTGCCAGCTCAAAGGAGCCAGAGGCGAGCAAGGCACAGCTCCTCGTCACCGGCCACTTGTGCAGGCGTACGCTCAGTTCCTGCCTTGCCAGCTTCCCAGGCATGCCGTCTGCAGTGTTCGAACCTGATCTTCCAGGGGATGAGTACCCAGGGAGGTGTCCTCAAAAGAGATGACAGTGTGGGTTCCGATCAGTGTCTTCTTGCCTGTATTTAGAGTACGTTGCCTTGAGTAGGACTCTCCTATGGAGCAGTTTTCTTTTTCTTTTTAATTTTTTAAATGGAAATGTCCTGGAACCCACACAGTCAGGTGGTGGTTCCGAGCCCTGTGTGAATACTGTGAACCTGGCTGATGAGGCTGTGGACCTGAGCTTAGCTATGGTTGCTTTAGTCTTGAGTTGTCACGTGTGACTGTGGGTATGATGGGCGTGAGAATACAGGGTCACCCTGACCTGCCATCCCAGACCCTTCCCAACCAGCCGTTATGGTCTACAGTGTTCATGGGTCAGGTGTGCGGCTGTCAGAACCCCAAGGACATTCTGCTGGTTTTTGTTTGTTTGTTTTGCTCTGGTTTGGTTTTCCGAGACGGGGTTTCTCTGTGTAGCTTTAGAGCCTGTCCTGGAACTCGCTCTGTAGACCAGGCTGGCCTGGAAATCTCAGTGCTGGGACTAAAGGTGTGTGCCACCGCCACCGTCACCGCCACCGCCTGGCAGACATGCCCATCTTTAACCCCTTTTCTTGTTTGCTGTAAGTAGGGAACAAATACCCGCAGCTGCCCCCACAGCTGCAGGAGTGAATTGCCTCTTTAGAAGCTCCAGGTTCTGCCGGTTTGAGATCATTTTATCAGGTGGAGATGGACTTCTCCAACACCACAGCTCTCTCAGGTCCATCGTCCCTTCGAGTGGAACACCGTTACCCACTCTTTCCTCGTTCCTCTAGAAGTCACATGATTGCCAGTGAATGACCCTTCATGTGGCTCTGCGGGTGATCAGTTTTGGGTGTTTTGTTTTTGTTTTGTTTTTTTTATTAGACGGGGTTGAATTCTAGCTAGCCTAGAACTTGCTTTGTAGACTGCCTCTGGGGCGGGTTGGGATTACAGGTGTGCCACCATGCCTGGCTGCTCCTTTTTTAAAAAATTGTGCTAAAACACATATGGCCTAACTTTTAACTCTCCAGGCACAGGGCACTTCATGGGCATTGGGCACTCCCACTGTTGGGTGGCCCTCACCGCCGTCCACCTCAGCTCTGTCATCTTCTCAGCTGAAACTGTCTCCATTAAACTCTGACCACCTCCCTGGGTTCAAGTCCAACTCCAGCAGGAGGTCAGCCAGGGCTTGTCCTGTGTCCGCATGATTTCATTCTTAGGACCTGTCCCTGCTACAGCGGGTTGTAGGATTGCCTTTCTCTTAAGGCTGATTTACACCCCCTTCTCTCCTGTGGTCCAGCAGGATGACTTAGATGGCTCTTCTGTCACCTGCTCTGGAGGGCCCTGGGATCTGTGGAAGTCACATGGTCCATATCTGAGGCCCTGGCTGTCCCACTCAGTTCTCCATGGAGACTGCAGACCTCACGCCCAGTGCCCCCACCTGCCCTCTTTGTTGCCTGTTCCTTTCTTCATGATCCACGATCTCTCTTCCCTCCAGTAGTGTCTGCCTTCTCACTTTGGAAACTCTGGTGCTGTCTGGCCTTCCCACCTATCAGTGCCCCCCGCCAGTGCCCCCTTACCCTTCAGTGGTCAGCGAGACTGGCACCAGCAGTCCGCTTTTGCATGTTGGCTTTTGAAGATGAAGATCAGAGCTTGCTTGTCTCTATCAGAAGACTGCACGTTTGCCATTTGTAAAACAAACCAGGTGCCTGGCTGTGGCCAAAATGTTGATGAGATCCACATCAGCCCTTGGGTCTGCCCATCTCTTGACCCAGCCCACCTGCTTGGTCTGCACACTCTGCTCCCTTCAGCTCTGCTGGGACCTGTGTAGCCAACCACTCCTGGTCCTACCTCCTCTCAGCTCCAAGTCTCGCCATGCAGAAGTGAGATGTGTTTATCCCTGTAGGGAAACCCCCACCCAAGCATCCCAGCACTCAAACCTTGCCTCTCAGGTGATGATGATGGATGAAAACCCTCCTTGGTATCTGTCCTGTTTTTTAGCGTCATTCCCATGGTGCCTACAAATGTGTTTGTTCCCGGGATATGTTGCGGTTCTAGCGAGTACTTTCTGTGTAGTCATTTATTCATATTTCTCTTCCTCTGTCTGTGTCTTTTCTCCTTGTGTCTCCTGCCCTTGGTGTACCAACCATTACACAGTGGGTGCTCAGCAGTGTCGGCAGGTGGGAGCAGCAGCCTGTCAGGACTACCCCGGTCTGTCAGTGTCCTGGGCATGGTATCGTAGCATGGACAGGGGCAAGCCCATAAATAGTGTCTCTGCCCTACAGGCCTCTGGCACCCCCAGCACCATGAATGCCATTGTCGCTCTCTGCCACTTCTGCGAGCTCCATGGCCCCCGCACTCTGTTCTGCACGGAGGTTTTACACGCTCCCCTGCCCCAGGGTGCTGGAAGTGGGGACAGCCCTGGCCAGGTTGAGCAGGCCGAGGAAGAGGAGGGTGGCATCCAGATGAGCAGCCGGGTTCGTGCCCACAGCCCAGCCGAGGGTGCCAGCACCGAGTCCAGCAGCCCTGGGCCCAAGAAATCAGACATGTGTGAGGCAAGTGTCTTTGAGATCTTGAGACGGTTTTACCTTTCTGTGAAAGATGGGAGCGTGAGAGACCCCCCAAGGTTCTGAGAGCATTTTTCTAATCATGCCACCCGGAGCCTTTTTAACTGATTCAGTATCTGGGTGATCCTCCTTGTGGACCCTAGAACCTCTTTGTTGGAGGAAGTGGAAGTCCCACACAGCCTCTGCTGGGTTGGGTGGGGGGTTCCAGCTTTCACCGGCGTGGACAGGAATCAGGTGTCACTGTCATTCATCATGTGGAAAGCTGGGATGCTACGGGACAGGGACTGGTAGCGGAACAGATGTGGAAGGGGTCTTTAGGCCTGCGGAGCAGTGAGAGGGGAGGAAGAGCTAAAGGGACAGGACGCCCAAGGGTCCTGGAGGATCTCCTAGGGAGGGTCTTGCCTCAGTGCGTACCTGGCATAGTCCCAGGTTGGGACCCCTGCGGAATACACAGCCTTGGCTTGAGGCAGTGGGGAGGCTCTGGGTTTGCATTCCGTGCCCCACTTCCACCCTTAGCAGGAAGTCACAGTGGAGGCTTCTTGGGTTGCTGCACTGACACCGAAGCCTCTGGCTGACATAGTTGAAGCCTCTGGCTGATCTGTGACCAAGATCAATGCCTGCAGTTCATTCGGACCCAGGAAGGAGACCGCTTGGGGGCCGATAGCATCGCTCAGGAGGGTGGCACAGCTGTGCACTCCGAGTCCAGCTACTGCTTCTCATTCAAGCCGCAGCTGTCTGTCCAGTGGGGCTTCCTCCTGGGTTTCCCTTCTAGGGCCACTGCTGGGACTGGGTGAGATAAGCAATAGAAGACTCGTCATACCTGCGGGCTGTCACTGCTAGCTGTAGAGAAAACTTTGACGGCCCTTGGGTCTAGATTTTCTTAGTTAAATTTAGTCTAAGATAAGTCTAAATTTAAAAGCTGGTTATTTCTATACAAAGAAGAAGTTGGACATGACAGCATATGCCTGTAGTCCCAGCATTTAGGAGGCTGGGGAAGGAGGTTCACAAGTCCCAGGCCAGCCTGGGCTACACTGTGAAAGAATTTGGTGGTCTCTGGGAACAGGGGTGTCCTGGCAAGATGGCTCAGTGTTTGAAGGTGCTTACTACTAAGCTGATTAATGGCCTGAGGTTGATCCCCAGAACTAACACTGTGGAAGGAAGGAACCAGCTCTGGTGAGTGGGGAGGGGGAAGGGATGAAAACACTAAAGATGATTGGAAAAGCCATAGAGAAACATGATATTTATTCAGAAACAAGACAGGCGGTGGTGGGTAGTGGTGGCAGTACTTGGGAGGCAGAAGCAGGCGGATCTCTGAGTTCAAGGACAGACGGGGTCACACAGAGAAATCCTGCCTCTCAAAAAGAAAGGAAAGAAAGAAACACACATACATATAAATGCTTAAATGAAGTTATGTCACTAGGTGGTAATGCTTTCCCCAAGAGCCATTCAAAATAAGGAGAAAAAAATTTTTTTTAGGGAGAAAGTTTTTTAAAAATTTAAAAAGGGTTATGTTTTCTACATTTAGATTTGTCACCTGCTTCTAGATAATAGATTTTTTTTCTTCTTCCTGTGTCCAGGGCTGCCGATCACTTGCTGTAGGGCACCCGGGTTATATCAGTCATGATAAAGAAACCTCTATTAAGTACGTCAGTCACCAGCACCCCAATCACCCCCAGCTCTTCAGCGTCGTCCGCCAGGCCTGCGTCCGGAGCCTGAGCTGTGAGGTGAGGCTGGCATCAGGCTGTCTGTGAGAAACGCACGTGATTCTAAGTTTATTTCTGTTTATGGACAGCAAGGGGCTTGCTTATCAGTGCAGCGTGGGCATGGCTGCAGTTGTCAGCTCGAAGAGAAGTCTTTGGGACTCTGGCTATCGAAATAGGTGTTAGCTCTTCACTTTGAACAACAGACTGCTATTTCTCTGTCCATTCTTGCTGAGCATGTTTCTAAGCTAGAATAGTTCTACGCTGTGTGGTTTGCACCAAGTATTAGCTTTATAGTGTATCCACTGCCACCCCACCATGTTGCCACTCTTAGAACCTTCTGAAGAATGAATCAGGCTGGAAAGATGGCTTAGCAGTTAAGAGCACTCACTGGTCTTGCAAAGGACCCAAGTTCATTCCCAGCGTGCTCGTGTTGGCTTGCAGCCATCTGTAACTCCAGTCCCAGGGGATCCGACATCTTCTTCTGACCTCCATGGGCACTGCGTGCATGTAGTACACAGACATATATGCCAGCAAACACTCATACAGAAAATAAAAATAAAGGTTTAAAACAGCAGAAGAACGGTTTGTGCCTGAGCTACTGCTGTGGAGCACGAGTCTTAGCTTTTAGATTTGATCTGTCCCACGGGTGTATAGTACAGCTTCTGAGCTTCGCTGCCCTGGACCCACCTCATCTGATCCCTGGAACCCGTGTCACTCGTCTGACTCTTGCTTTATGCATTTCTATTCCTTGATGTATGCTTAGCAGCAGCCAGGTATCATATGCACAGTAGTTACATGTTGAGGAAGTTTGTCAGGAGGGAGTTACCACAGGACTCTAAAAATAGGGTGTGCTGGGCCTGGAGATGGCTCATCGTTTAAGATCAGGTACTCCTGTTATAGAGGACCTGAGTTCGGTTCCTCGCACCCACATTGGGTGGCTCACAACCTCCCGTGACTTCAGTTCCCGGGGTTCCAACTCCTTTGGCCTCTGCAAGCACCTGTATTCATGTGCACTTAATGTCACTACCACAGTCATGTGATTTAGAGGAGTGTACAGTTTTACTCTGCAGGCCCAGCAGTAGTCTATTGCATCTGCTGGCTCTCTGGTCTATCCAGAAGACCAAGTTGGAACATTTGGGGGCAGCTTAATGATAGCACATTGGCCTACTATGTCAAGGCCCTGAGTAACCTAGCACCACCAAAAACAGGAAAAGGAACCCAAGAGACTTTAGGTAAAGTTTGGATAGAGCTTTGCCTAAAGTTACTGTTGCTTCCTCCAAGGTGTGCCCTGGTCGCGAAGGCCCTATCTTCTTTGGTGATGAACAGCATGGCTTTGTGTTCAGCCACACCTTCTTCATCAAAGACAGCCTGGCCAGAGGCTTCCAGCGCTGGTACAGCATCATTGCCATCATGATGGATCGAATCTACCTCATCAACTCCTGGCCCTTCCTGCTGGGGAAGATCCGTGGGATCATCAGTGAGCTCCAGGGCAAGGCCCTCAAGGTGATGCTCCAAGAGGGGTCTCTGGCTCTGTTGCCCTGGATGTTGAGTGCTCAGGCAGGGTGATCCTCTTGGCTCTGCTTCTGTCATAGGGCTGAAGTTGAAGTTTCAGGTCAGTGTCGTCATGTGAGATGAGTGTCCCTGCTAACCAGCCTGTAGCTCTCCTGATTTTACCTTACCCACTATTCTATCACTCCTTCAGCCTCTGGCTTCTTGCCTGGTGCCTTTACTTCCTATACTTGTCAGGACCTAAACTATCTGCTAGTTTTGTCTAGAACCTTACCTTGGGCACCCTCTCCAGCTACAAAAGATCATGCAGGTAGGCATGGGCTTGCTTCGGTCACAGACCCTTAGATTCAGTGGCCCTTTTCTTGTCCATGTGCTGTCCACGGGTAGTAGACACCATCCATCCTCAGAGATGGAGCAGCTGTAGTGTAGGATGTGGCTGGAGGGAACAGGAGGCTGGGGAAGCCAGGTGATCAGTGTGCCCATTACCTACAATGAATGCTCTGTGGAATGAACCTGCCAGGGAGAGACCACCAACACTTGAAGGATGGTGAATACCCAGCGGGAGCCCACGGGACCAAGTAGCAAAGGAGAGGAGCCACCCTGAAACCTCTGTGACAGAACCATCCGGCGAGGCAGTGTCAGGCTGTTGGCATGCCCTGCGTTCTGAGTCGAGAGAGTGGAATGAGAGAGTCTGGGGAAGCTGGGTGGCAGTAACCCAAGAGTACGGTCCTAGCCACCACTGAGGAGGCGCACTTCTCTACCCTTTGTGTTCAGGTATTTGAGGCAGAGCAGTTCGGATGCCCACAGCGTGCCCAGAGGATGAACACAGCCTTCACACCCTTCCTGCACCAGAGGAATGGCAACGCTGCCCGCTCTCTGACCTCCTTGACCAGTGACGACAACTTGTGGGCGTGTCTGCATACTTCCTTTGCCTGGTAATGAATCCCAGGTCTGGGTACCAAGGCATTAGAGCATCTGCCTCCCCATGGGGCTGGCTGACTCAAGGCCTGTTCTCTTGTCTATCTCCCCGCTGGACAGAAACGTTTCTAGGTAGAACTCACTTCACATTAACACAAAGAACATTTCTGTATGGAAACTAAATTTTTTCTCTAAAGGTGGCGGTGGATTTCTGGCTCCGGCCTCTTCTGAGCTGGCGTCTGGTGCTCTGGGCTCGGGTCTGGCAGATTTTGCTGATGGGGAGCAGTCAACTGGCATATGGGGTGAAGGTCTAGTGTACAGGTGTGTGGTGGACAGGGAGCCCCTGTTTCCCAAACTGAGTAGTCCAGGGAAATGGGGTGTAGCCTGCAGAGCCTCGGGACTGAGCTTGGCGGGGTATACTGCCTCTTCTACTTTGTACCACTTTGGTCAGTTGAGCGGGCTGGTCTGTACAGTAACTATGGAGAATAGTGCAGTGTGAACAGGGACATTTAAGGATCTCTGCTGTGGTGGCTTCCAGTCCTGCAGGTAACGTCCAGGAGTGGTGTGATGGGTTTGGGGGACCCTCCCTACTGACTTCCAAGGTGGCAGCACCGGTTAACATGCCCACCAACGGGGCATACAGTTCTGGCTTCCTTCATTCTCCACAGTATTTGCTTCTATTTTATATGTGGGATGGTTTTTTGTTTTCATGTATGTATGTGTACTACATGTGGGCCTGATGTCTGTGGAGGTTAAAAAAGAAAGGAAAGGAAAAGGAGTTGGATCCTGTGGAACTGCAGCTAGAATTGGTTGCAAGCCACCATGCTGGGGCTGGGAACTGAATGTGTGTCTGTAAGAGCAGCCAGTGCCGTTAACTGTGAGCCGCCTCTCCAGCCCTGTCCTTGGTCTTCTTGGTGATAGTCATGCTGGTTGTATGAAATGGAATCTCAAAGCAGTTTTAACTTGCATTTCTTTGATAACTAAGGATACTGAATTCTTCACATACTTATTGGCCATTTGTAGTTTCTTCCTTTGAGAATTGTCTAGAATGTTCTTGCTTGTGTTTTCCATCTATAGCATAACCATAGAACATCACTTCACTCAGTAGAGCCAAGAGCTGTCTGCTGTGCTACCTATGTTCCTGAATTGGGATTCCAAACCACCTCAACCCATTTTCTTATTTCCCCCCTTTTAAAAAGATTTATTTATTTATTACATATATAGTGTTCTGCCTGCCTGTATGTCTGCAGGCCAGAAGAGGGCACCAGATCTCATTACAGATGGTTGTGAGTCACCATGTGGTTGCTGGGAATTGAACACAGGACATTTGGAAAAGCAAGCAGTGTTCATAATCTCTGAGCCATCTCTCCAGTCCCTCTCATTCCCATTAATGAAGTGCCATCTCTTAATGAAGACTCATGTCTTGGGAACTGTTCCCTTGGTGGTGGTGGGGTCCTCCAGTATGCTTGTGTAGGCCATTTTCTGAACCAAGGCCTTGGTAAGCCTCAAGTTTAGTTTTCTCATTGGCGGGGGTATCTCATTGCTGGCATTGTATCCATCTCCAGGCTCCTGAAGGCATGTGGTAGCCGGCTGACAGAAAAGCTGTTGGAGGGTGCACCCACAGAGGACACCCTGGTCCAGATGGAGAAGCTTGCTGGTAAGGCTCTTTTTCTCTGCAGGGTCATCTGTGCCGGGAGCTGGGCCCCTGGCTTGTGGCTGCCACAGTGAGTGGAGCTGATACCAGGGCGTCTGGATGTGAATTGAAGGGCCTTTGTGACAGCCAGTTCCATGCTCTTGGTGATTTTGTTACGATTCTGTCTCATCTTCCTTGATGGTGCCTTGGTGCCCTGTTCCCAGATGGGTTTCGGGATCCCTGGCATTCTCTGCAGGACTTGTGAGTGGCTCAACAGATTGGCGAGTTCCCTGCAGGCAGCTCTGCTTGCCAGAGTTTCCTCTAGAGAGCCCAGCTGGTCCGTCCCCCCACCAGCAATTGTTTGGTGAGAAGCCTTGTGAATCTTGTTAGTTTCAGGAACTTCCTGAGACTTGTATCTCATGAGCCTCTCTTCTTAGAGAGCCTGTCTCAGTTCAGAAGAAATCACTGTACAATATCATCCCTGCATCCATGCTTTCAGTCCAGTGTGACTGACTTCCTTAGGTGGTCCCATTGTGCGGTTGCAGCCCTCCGTTCTAGCTCGACTTCCATAGAAATTGTTTGAGTTCTGGAGTTCAGAGTCCTGTCCCATTCTCCCTCTTTCCCTCCCCAATGGTGGGAACACAACGGTCACTTATGGTAGATGGTGTACAGTTTGTTCCTGACGATGCTACCCTGCCTCCATTGTCAGTAGCTGGAGCTCTTTCCAGGTTGTCGCTAGTCGAGCACTCACTCTGCACGTGACTTGTGCAAGTACTCAGGAGTGGGGGCTCTCGAGCAAGACACACTCAGAAAAGATAGACATTGGAGTTGTTTTCCTAGTCCTATGAATCAGTACTGGAACTGTTTGAGTATAATATGACTCAAATCTGAAGTCTGCAGGCCATCAGGTCTTGATGGGATGTGTGGGCAGACGGGGATCTCAGCCACATTTAAACTGAATTGGGTCATGCGGAATCTGAGTGTGGGCTCAGGCTTGCGTTCGAGTCAGATAGAACTGGCTTCAAACCCTGGTGCTTACGGGTACCCTGTTCTCTGGGTCTCATTGTGACTTGCAGCGGAGATGTTATTGTAATGGTCTGCCATGAAGATTAATAAAAGTAAAACGTTTATGTTTCGTCTGGGAGCAGGGAGATGGGGCGAGATAGTGTGTGGACACAAGGACTGGCCCCCGGCCAAGTAATACCCATAAACTCATGCTGTCTGCACTGCATGGCCCAGCTTTGCAACAGCGGCACATAGGCAGCACTTTGCAGAGGAGCTTCTATGGTGTCTCTTCTGCGCAAGTCCTCCTCCCTCCGCCCCCGGTTGCCCAGGCACTAGCACACAGTCATCTGGCCTCTCTAGGATACAGTAGGAATTGGTGGTGTCGCCGTAGGTACCCGGCAGAAATGGCCACAGAACCTGGGGACGCACTCTCCATATCTGTCCTGTTTGTCTGTCCTGTAGACTTGGAGGAAGAATCAGAAAGTTGGGACAATTCTGAGGCCGAAGAGGAGGAGAAAACTGCTGCTGAGCCAGAGGGGGCTGAAGGGCGGGAGCTGCCCAGCTGCCCAGCAGAGTCGTCCTTTCTCCCGGCCTGTGGGAGCTGGCAACCCCCAAAGCTTTCTGTCTTCAAGTCCCTTCGACACATGAGACAGGTATGCAGGGGTGGGTGTGGTCCTAACTGAGAAGAGCTCCGTCCACATCCACGGTCAGGGGTGGCACTAGGAACTTCTCAGCGGGTGGATGACCATGACAGAGTGGGCTTCTGGTGTGTTCGTGTGCATCCACATGCATGTTCGTGTATGCACATGTATGAAGATGCCAGAGTGTCTTTCTTCTGGGTGCTTCTGACATCGTATTTTGAGACAGTGTCCCTAACTGACCTGAGACTTGTCCAGTACGCTAAGTGGCTGACTTGTGTGCCCCAGGGATCTGCCTCCTGTGCCTTCCCAGCTGTAGGATAACCAGCACGTGCTACTATGCCTTGCCTGCCTTTTAAATTTGAGTTCTGGGGTGCAAACTCAAGTCCCCATACTTTGCACTGAAGCTAAACTGTCTCCAGCCCAGGGTCTGTCATCTGTGAGGTTTCTGTGGTCCTGTAATCTTGTCTAGAACCTCCTGAAGGTGTTGAAAAGCACCTTTATCTATCTGTAGGCCGGCTAGACTTTAATAGTCATTCCTAGAATAAGGCTGGCATGACCTACGTGCTAGCCTTGGTTATTAATAGTGTGTCTAGACAGCGGGATCTCATTTAGTCTGAGAAAGCAAGCAGGCAGCATGAAGTTTGATGTACATAGAAACAGCCGAGCCGAGAAGTGTGATGAGATTGAACATGGCTTGTTGGGTCAGGGGAGAGGATTGCTCCAGGTGATGGCAGGTTGTTCCCTTTTCATGCTGTCTTTATCCTTTTGAGACAGAGGCTTATGTGTCTTAGGTTGGCTTTGAACTCACTATAGCTGAGGATGATGGCCTTGCATTTCTGGGCCTGCTTACCCGGTGCTGGGATTAGAGGCATGTGCAACTACAGCAGGTGACTTTCTGCACTGTGTTCCTTTTGATTTTTAATTTAGAATTTTAAAGGGTTTTTGTTTTTGTTTTTCGAGACAGGATTTCTCTGTGGCTTTGGGGCCTGTCTGTCCTGGAACTCTTCCCTGTAGACCAGGCTGGCCTCAAATTCAGAGAGATCTGCCTGTCTGTGTCCCACAGGTGCTGGGATTAAAGGCGCGCGCCACCACTGCTTGGCTGAATTTTTAAGTTTTATTTACTATTATTATTGTGTGTAGGAATACACGTGCCATAGTGTACATGTGGAATCTCTCCTTTCTACTCTCTGTGGGTTCTGTCTGGGTGTGACTCTGAGCTGCCCCGTTTACATAGCAAGCACCCTTCTCTCTACCCACAGCTTACATAGCAAGCGCCCCTCTCTCTACCCCAGCTTACATAGCAAGTACCCCTCTCTATACCCACAGCTTACATAGCAAGCACCCCTCTCTTTACCCCAACTTACATAGCAAGCGCCCCTCTCTCTACCCCGGCTTACATAGCAAGCACCCCTTTCTTTACCCCAGCTTACATAGCAAGCGCCCCTCTCTTTACCCCAGCTTACATAGCAAGCACCCCTCTCTCTACCCCGGCTTACATAGCAAGCGCCCCTCTCTGTACCCCGGCTTACATAACAAGCACCCTTCTCTTTACCCCAGTTTGCATAGCAAGCACCCCTCTCTCTACCCACAGCTTACATAGCAAGCGCCCCACTCTCTACCCCCGGCTTACATAGCAAGCACCCCTCTCTACCCGGCTTACATAGCAAGCACCCCTCTTTGCCCATGGCTTACATAGCAAGTACCTCTCCGCCGAGCCATCTCTGTCACCATCTTTTTTTTCAATGAGCGTTAATATTTACCAGCCAAGAATGATTTCCATTTTGGAGAGTGGAAAGGCTAATGAGATGACTCACTGGGTAAAGGCCCCTGCTGACCACCATAAAGCCCTAAATTTGATCCCCAGGTAAATGGAGTGAGCCCTGGAGTTTCTGCCTGGGGCCATTTGTTCTCCATTTGAGCTGTGTTGACTTTGCTAACTCTTTACGAGGTTGTGATAGCAGGCATTGTGGTTTCTGTTGCAGGGAGATGTGCTTGGGAGCACTGGGTATTGTAGCCTCTGTTTCTGTTTGTCTTGTTTTGTTTCAAGTTCATGTTTGGTCTCAAGAAAGAACAGACTACCTCCTCCCGTGCTGCAGGAGTTACGGACAGGCAGGGAGGAGAGAGGCTGGTTTGGATTAGAGAATAAAGATACCCCAAACAGAGAGCAGGCCTGGTGTGGCGATGGCCTCAGCATCTGAAGAGATGCCACTGTAAAGGACGCTGCCATCATCAGCTGGGTTGGACGAGTGCCAGGATGTGGGTGCGTCCTGGTGGTGGAGGCAGAGCCCTCGTTCTTCCTGAGCACTCCAGCGTGACAGCGTGTCTAGAGAGGGTGACAGCTGCAGAACGCCAGCACCACTTGCTTTGTATGTTTCACAGTAGAGCTGAGAGAGGGCTGGGAAGAATCTAATGTAATACCTCCTGTCCCCTGTCAGCCTTGGACAGGCCACCAGATTCCTTCGGAAGAGTTCCCTTTGCTGACCGTGACCTTCAAATTGACTCCTATAAAATACATAAAGAGCTGTGTGTTGCATTTCAGGTCTTGGGGGCCTCCTCTTTTCGTATGTTGGCCTGGCATGTCCTCATGGGAAATCAGGTGATCTGGAAAAGCAGAGATGTGAACCTTGTCCATTCTGCATTTGAAGTCCTCCGGGTGAGACCCTTCCCCTGTGTGCTAATGTTTGACTTGGGCAAATATTGGGGGTACCAAGTTCAGAGTCTCAAAAATCGATTCTTTGCCTGATGAAAATGGTGGGCGTTGGTATTCCTGTGGAAGGAACCTAGATTGTCACTATTGACTAAGCTACCCGTTTTCCTCTTCCTCAATCTGAAGTTCTTCTGAGACGTTATCTGGGCAAGTACTGGCTCTTGCTGATGCCACACAACTGTTGTTAGGTTGGGACAGTGGTGTAGGAGCAGCTCACAACATGTCTGCTGGCTGTCAAAGTCCACAAGTGCCTCTTTGTCTCATGAACATCTGAGCTGGCAAGGAGACCAGAAGAGGCAGCAGGTGGCAGCCCAGGGCGGGGAGGGCTTCTTGGTGGGAGACCAGGTATGGGCTGAGAGCAGGGACACATTAAGGAGGGGGCTGTGGACCAGATACAAAGGATGCTCTTGTGGATTCCGAGCCGCCCTGTCCTCCACAGACCATGCTGCCTGTAGGCTGTGTCCGAACCATCCCCTACAGCAACCAGTATGAGGAAGCCTACCGTTGCAACTTCCTAGGGCTCAGCCCTCCGGTGCCTATCCCAGCTCATGTGCTGGCCTCGGGTAAGTACCTCTTTGAGATCCGTGCTGCTCGCTGCTCTCAAAGGCAGCCTGGATCCAAGTCGCAGGGTTTGGGGTCAGGCAGCACTCTGCAGCCCCAGATAAGACCTGCTGGGGCTGGAGGTGTCCTGAGCCCCTGAGCAAGGCCCTCTGTTCACATTAGGACTGGTCTGTGCAGAGGTGTTTGTGAAGTTCCTGTACCGCTGGCTGTGTGTGTGTGTGTGGCCACTGCACCCACAAGGCTGTTTCCATCCACAGGATAGAACAATAGTGGAACCATTCACAGAGGGCTCAGAATGAATTTATCTGTGTGACTTACAATCATTGTAATGAAGAGTTATTTCTAGTTTAGCTGAGGCAAAAACTAACCCTTAAAAAAATAAACTGCCAAAGGTATTAAGCACCGAAACTTCCTTCACTGGAGGCCTGTCCCTGACAGTGTGTGCCTGGGGGGCACTTGCGGTGGGGCCAAGGAACATTTGACAAGATAGTGTGCTTTTTGCTGCTACAGAGTTCGCAGTTGTTGTGGAGGTCCACACGGCCACACGCTCGAACCTCCACCCTGCTGGATGCGAGGACGACCCGTCCCTCAGCAAGTACGAGTTCGTGGTGACCAGTGGGAGCCCTGTGGCCGCAGACAGAGGTGGGTGCTGCTGCTGGTGTCACCGTATGTCAGGGCAAGAGGGGGCACCACGGCCTCTTCCTCACCCAGTGTTTATTTATGCCCCCAGTTGGGCCCACCATCCTGAATAAGATTGAAGCAGCCCTGACCAACCAGAACCTGTCTGTGGATGTGGTGGACCAGTGCCTTATCTGTCTCAAGGAAGAGTGGATGAAGTAAGCCCCAGCCTTGTTGTGACAACTTCCCCGGCTTCGTGGGGGGAGGGGGGCAGCTCTCCATGGCATTGGGCTCATGTGAAAAAGAAGATGGTGTTTGTTAAAAAGAGGCCAGGCTGTGACCCTTAGGAACCTGCGAGAGTGGAAGTAAGAGTGGGGTTCAGGCACCATCCCTGCTACCCTGTGTCCTGGGAGGTGGAGGTAGCTGTTCAGATTTGATGCTGGCCGTGTGAAAGAGGCTCAGAAGGACCAAAGCTCTGTTTCTTTATTCCTTAATTCATCTCTGCTTGTGGAGGGGTGGAGGATGCTAGGCATCAGACCTAGGCACACCTGCAGTAGGGCACAGCCTGGCAGCCATCCTTACTGCTTTATAAAAGAAAGTTATTTGTTTCCTTGTGCCTTGAGTTTTAGTAATAATTTTATTAAATCAACTGAACTAGTTGAACATTTTCCTGGCATCAAATAATGCAGTGAAACTCATGCACAATTATTTCTTAGTAAATTTCTCCCCTTGTTTTTTTTTTTTTTTAAGATGTATGCATAGGGGTATTTTGCCTGCATGCGCCATGTACATACCTGGTGCCATGGATCCCCTGGAACTGGAACAGACAGTTGGGAGCCGCAATGTGGGTGCTGGAAATTGAACCTGGGTCCTCTAGAGGAGCAGTCAGTGCTCTTAACCACTGAGTCATCTCTTCAGCCCCTCTCTCTTCTTTTTTGAGAGGATTTTTTTTTTCCCTGTCTTACCCAAGCTGACCTTGAACTTCCTGGGTTCAAGGATTCCTGCTGCAGTACCAAGTAACTGAGACTGCAAAACACCTTTCTCTTTCGCCCTGGTGGTGGCCTGGCCTTCCTCAGGGTGAGGCCCCCCACATGACTGCATTGGGCAGCCCCGTGCCCTTCCCCAGTGTGGGCCTGCAGAGCTCTCCCTGGTCTGGAAGTTGGGCTCATGAGAAAAGCCTGGTGCTTCTGCTGTGCGTCTCAGTGCTTGTTTCTTGTTTTCTGCAGCAAAGTGAAAGTCCTGTTTAAATTCACCAAGGTGGACAGTCGCCCCAAGGAGGACACACAGAAGCTCCTGAGCGTCCTGGGCGCATCAGAGGAAGACAACGTCAAGCTGCTGAAGTTCTGGATGACGGGCCTGAGCAAAACCTACAAGTCACACCTCATGTCCACGGTCCGCAGCCCCATCGCCTCAGAGTCGCGTAACTGACTCAGAACAGCACCCCAGGTCTGCGCTGGGTTTCTGACTGCTGAGGGGAGGCCCTGTTTGAGGAGTGAAGACTTCTGGGCTGGGCTTTGTCCTCTTTATGAGGTGCTGTGTCATCCTTTAACTATTGAAATGTAGGGGAGACAGGGACAGTGATCCCTCTGCATCACACTGCCCCGTCAGGGACTGTCAAGATGTGCTTCGTGCCTCCTGAGGATAAAAGCTCAGAACTGACTCTGTAGCCTTCCTGCTGCAGTGTGTCCTCTCGGGGTCAGGAGCAAACCTTCCCACCAGGGAAGCCAGCAAGCATCCTGGATCGTTTGTGTGACCGGGTTGTTGAATTCTCAGGTCATGTGCCCACCCATGGCCTCTGGTCAGCTTGCCTGCCAGCTTGTGGATACATTGAAACCATGGCTGTTTTGTTTTGGGGTTTTTTTGTTGTTGTTGTTTTGAATTTTATTTTTTGAGTCAGGGTCTTATTCTGTTGCCTGGTTTAGAACTCTCTGTGTGGCCTATGCTAGTTTCAGACTTGCAGCAATCTTCCTGTCTCAGCTTCCCAAGTGCTAGGATAACAGAACTGAGCCACCATGACTATACATGCTTCCTTCGCTGTTGCTGCTGCAGCATTAACCAGTGGTTGAAGAATATGTCTTAAGACAGATCGTCTCCCACCATTGCAGTTTTAATAAGGGTGCAGCTTAGAAGGGTTTCCTGAAAGGCTCCCAATGTGTTTTTATGATATTTTTGGTGTTTGTTTATATTTAACACGAAGACTAAGTTTACGTGTCTTGGTCTCTGTACAATTGCGAGAAACATAATAAATCTGTATTTTTTTAAACTGCTGACTACATGTTTTTTATATGTGGTGCTACTATCACCTGGGTTCCATCAACGAGGTGCGACTGTGTGTGCTGTGTGCCACTGTGTACCAGTGGGGCCCAGGAAGGCATCACAGGCCATACTTACAGACACTGATGGATACGCACACCGAACAATAGACTCTTTGATGGCTTGTGATGTGCATGTGGTCCATTGTTGACGGGGTGGAGCATGACGGTTCAGTCTGTAATCCCAACTCTTGGGGAGCTGTGGCCAGCGCGGGCCATGCAGTAAGTTTTAAACCAGGCTAGGCTACTGAATAATACCTGTTTGTCTAACACTGCCCTACTTCAGGAAATGGCCCCGCCCCTGCAGAAGTTAGAAGAGGGCAGCAGGAGCGCCTGTGCAGGAGTGTAGTCTTAGAACAGGGAGGGAGGCTCTCTGGCCTGCTTGCGGTCTGGCTGGGTGGTCCGGGATAGATGAAGGACGTGGTGTCTCTTTGGATATGAGGTCTTGTCTTTCCAGCACAGGACATTCCCTGAAGCGCTGGCCTACGGTCAAAGAAAGCCTTTTCCAATTGTCTGCCGGTTCAGCTGCTGAGCCTCGGAAGCAGGAGCTCAGCCTGAGGTAGCTCTGCAGCTCTGCAGCCATTTCACAGGAAGGAATGCACCCTGCACTCCCAGCAGAGAGTAAAACTTGCATCAATAGGGACAAAGGATGGGATGCTGAGTGTGTTTCTGGACCACTATGGACCCCCCTGAAAACAGCATCATTCTTAAAGATTGACTCAGCAATCAGAAAATGTATGTGCTGGCTAGTTTTATGTCAATTTGACACAATGTAGAGGTACAGGAAAGGAGGGAATCTCAATTGAGAACTTACCTCCATAAGATCTGACTGTAGACAAGCCTGTAGGGTATTTTCTTAATTAATAATTAATGTGGAAGGGTCCAGCCCATTATGAGTGGGGCTGGTAGTCCTAGGTTCTTTAAGAAGGCAGGTTGAGGGCTGGAGAGATGGCTCAACGGTTAAGAGCATTGCCTGCACTTCCAAAGTCCTGAGTTCAATTCCCAGCAACCACATGGTGACTCACAACCATCTGTCATGAGGTCTGGTGCCCTCTTCTGACCTGCAGGCATACATGCAGACAGAATATTGTATACATAATAAAAAAATCTTAAAAAAAAAAAAGGCAGGTTGAGCCATAGGGAGCAAGCCAGTAAGCGACACTTCTCCATAGCCTTGCTTCAGCTCTTGCCTTAAGGTTCCTGCCCTGTTTTGAGTTCCAGTCCTGACCTCTCATGATGAGCAGTGATGTAGAAGGGTAAGCTAAATAAACCCTTTCCTCCCCAGTTGCTTTCTTTGGTCACGGTGTTTTATCACAGCAATGGAAACCGTAACTAGAGCTGGGTGTGGTGACACACACCTTTAATCCCAGCACTCCGGAGACAGAGGCTGGTGGATCTCTGTGAGTGAAAGGCCAACCTGGTCTAGAATGGTTCCAAATAACTAAGAGAGGCTGACCTGTCCCCAGTGAGAAACTCTCATCACTCAGAAATGAAATGGAAAACTCTTTAATTAGCATGCAGCTGTAGCCTTTAACTATGGCGTAAAGAAAAGCAGGGTATCTCCGTGTAACAGCTCTGGCTGTCCTCGAGCTCACTTTGTGGACCAGGCTGGCCTCAAACTCACTGAGACCCACTTGCCTCTGCCTCCCAAATGCTGGGATTAAAGACATGCGCCACCACCTCCTGGCAGAAAAACCAGTCTTGGTCAGAAATATTTCATGGTTTATATAGGGTTAAGTGTCAACTTAATCTTGTGACCATCTTGGGGTGGTCTTTTAATTCCTGCGCCAAAGAGCATTTTGGTGAAACTGAGCAAGTTTTACAGAAGCTGAAATGTGAAAGTTTCCAGTTATTAGTGTTTTATCTTTAGTAGACAGAATGTGCCACCGAAGTGAGCAATGATGGTGGTCACCTCTTAAGGGAGAAGAGCAAATGCCAACTGTTAGGTCTAAACTCAGGACAAATGACCTATCAAGGCAGATGCTCGCCACTAAGTTCTCCCAGCATTCCTCAGTCCCTACCTGTTACAGGGTCCTCCTGGCTGTTGGACCCCACCCCTTACCCTGAGCCTCCTCAGCCTGAGCTTCACTGTCCTTCCTCAGCTGCTCTCCCTATGTAACCCAGCCATCTTGGCTATGCCAGTCCTTTCTGGCCTCTTGCCCTCTTCCCAGCTGCTCCTGCTTCCCCTCCTCCCTCCCCCGTCCCTTCCCCCTATCCTCACATGGCCGGGTTCAACTGTCCGGTCATGTTCGCTCTGGACTCATCCCAGGTGTCTCTGCCTGTGCTCTCCCTTACATCTAGAATAAAAACCTCAACCCCTTCGGATCTGTCATGTCCTCCTTTTATTTCTCTTTTCCATTCATCAGCTTTTTCTGAAGAATGGATGGGGCAGCTAGGTCCATAGACATTGGCAGTTCACTTCTGTGTTTCAGATGGGAAACAATTCCTTACTCTATTTCATTCAAGTCCTTGTCTTTTTTTTTTATTTAAAAAAAATCAAGAATTTTTTTCCTCCTCATCAGGATCCTCTTTTGGGCATCAATCAGGTCCCCTGGGACTGGAGTTAGACAGTCGTGAGCCACCATGTGGGTGCTGGGAATTGAGTCCAGATCCTTTACAAGAACAACCAGCACACCTAAGGGCTGAACCATCTCCCCAGCCCCAAACTGCAGAATATTTGAAGACAGGATGTTAAAAGGGAGGCAAAACAGGACATTTTAAGGGAAAAAGTCATTAAGACAGGATGTTTACAGGGGATGTGAAATAACCAGCATTGTAAACATCCCGTCCAGCAGGAAGGCTTTTCAAGCAATAAACAGGTAGCCCCTGCCTCCCCAAACAGGACTGCTCAGACACTCTAGACATGCTTGAACTGCCCAGAAGCAGCTGCGTGGGAAGGATATTTTGTGACATGCTAAGCTTCCCCAGGCTGTGCAGTGTGCTCCAGGTTCCAGCCTTTTTTTAAAAATTTATTTATTATGTATATAGTCTTCTGAGCACCAGATCTCATTATAATGGGTGTGAGCCATCATGTGGTTGCTGGGAATTGAACTCAGGACCTCTGGAACAGCAGTCAGTTCTCTTAACCTCTGAGCCATCTCTCCAGCCCAAGGTTCCAGCTTTTGCAAGCTGTCACCTTTGCTGGGTGATGGATGCAGCTGTCTTTGACCCCAGTAAAACTCATTGGTTCACCAGGCTGACCTTAGATGGTATCTGTACTTTAGTCTGTTGTCAGTTTCCTATTTGGGGTGAGCAAATGTTTGTTTATATCTCCCCAAGAACAGTGTCACACAGCAAGGATCCCCCCAAAGCCATGTAGCATAGCACTGTTCAGGAGGACTTGAAACCTTAGGAGCTCGGAGAGGGAGGCCGTTAGGTGACGATGTCATGGCCATGAGATGTGTATTTTGCTGAGTTACCTGCTGCCACCATTGTGTACTCCCTTGGCACAGGCCCAGTTAATTGGTTGATGGACTGGAACCTCCAAAACTATGGGCAAAATAAGGCTGTAAGCTGGTCATCTCAGATGTGAAGGGACTCTGGCCACCAGGAGCCTGGCAAACATGGCTCTGGCGGGCCTTGCCCAAGCCCCCAGTTCCTCTGCCTTGCTAAAACCCATTAGGTCACATTCCTAAAGATAGCCACCAAGATCTGTTCCCTTATTGGGCCACTTCCTCCAGAGGCTGACTAACAAGGTCCACCTATCGAAGTATTGATGTCCAGCAATCAAAAGCCCCCTTTGACTCACCTAATTAAGATGTCCAATTAAAATTAGACCCCTCATTCTAACACAGGGTTTCCCCCTTTACCTTTATAAATGGCCATTTAAATGCCCACCTGAGCATTTCAGTAGAACGACAGGAAACAGACTGGTCCACTGGCTGTTCCCTGTGAGGCAGCTCCACTTCCGCCTCTGCACACTGTTGTCTCAAACATTACAGCAAGTTAGTCCAACTGTATGTGATCCTTCAACTGTTTTATGTATTCTAAAGAAATTAAGAGAATGCACATATATGCTTTTATTAAATCTTTGAATGATTTTATCTTACGTGTGTGTGTGTGTGTGTGTGTGTGTGTGTGTGTGTGTGTACACATGCCAGACTATCTATAGGAACGAGTTCTCCTCTTTCATCATCCATGTTTTGAGGGTTGAACTCAGGTTGGCAAGCATCATGGCAGGTGCCTTCACTTTCTGAGCCCTCCTGACAGGTCATATACAGTTTTAACTGTCTTTTAATTTGCCATTTATAGCTCCCATGTCTTCCATAGGCTGTCACTATCTTCCCTTTGGCACATCTTATATAGGAGGGTTGCTATCAATATATCATTTGGATTTTTATGTAGATTTTTCAATTTTACTTTTTTTAAGTTGTTGGATATTTAAATTTAAAAAATTGTATATGAGTGTTTTGCCTACATGTGTGTCCTCTCTATGTAGTCGTTGACTGGCCTGGTACTCACCATGTAGACCAGGCTGGCCTTGAGCTCATAGTGATCCACCTGTGTAGGCAGATTTTTCTTTGGGTCACCAGCTCCCAAATAAAACAACATGGAGGCTTATTAATTATGAAAGTTTGGCCTTAGTTTAGGCTTGTTTCTAACTACCTCTTTTTTTATTAGTTTTATATACTGTTCTGTCTGCATATATGCTGCAGGCCAGAAGAGGGCACCAGATCTCGTTACAGATGGTTGTGAGCCAACATGTGGTTGCTGGGAATTGAACTCAGGACCTCTGGGAGAGCAGTTAGTGATCTTAACCTCTGAGCCATTTCTGCAGTCCCTAACTTTTTTTTTTTTAATTTTTCAAGATAGGATTTCTCTGTGTAACAGATCTAGTTGTCCTGAAACTTGCTCTTGTAGCCCAGGTTGGCCTCAAACTCACAGAGATCCGCCTACCTCTGCCTCCCGAGGGCTGGGATTAAAGGTGTGCGCCACCACTGCCCGGCCCTAA